CACACACACACACACACACACACACACACACACACACACACATGGGCCCACACAAACACATCCAGACACTCACACACTTAGCTTGAAAAAAGGAGAGGTCATGATGGGATTGCAAAAATATTCAACAAAATACCTGATTGAAATCCTTAAAGAGAAACTCCTTGTAGATAGCATCACGTCCTTCCACCATTGTCCAGCCTGCTTCTTTCAGTGGACCAAGGACTGAGCTTCTTTCTTCATCCGAAAGCTTTGCTCTCTTCGGACTTGAAGCCTGTAAAGCAAACGAACAAATATTCACATAAATTGGGAGGTCAAGCACAATATGGTTTTTCCTTTCTCCTTTGAATTTAAAATTAGTGCTTCGCGTCTTGAGAGAAATTGGAACGAGATCAAGCGAAATTCTGTCATTTACTCATGCGCACAGTATTGTTCTGCAAACAAGTAAAACATTAGAAGAAAAAAGGCACAAAGGACTTCTTTCAGGGCTGGAAAAAAGACTTGTTCTTTTTATTTCTTGAAAAAAAAAAGTAAAACAAGTCTTCAATGATATTGTCATATACCTTTATTTGGACCTGCATCAAGGCCTAAACACAATGAATTCGTGTGTTCTGAGCATACTCTTTCATCTTGTAATAAAAGGGACTCGAAAGTAATGTTTATCATTATTTGAATTCCAGTTTCCATGTCAATGCATCACATACGGGCTGTGGTTAGGTGAGGAAAAGGCATGCATCATATTTATTGACCAATCACTGACTTGAGAGCATATATGTGTCACGACGCGGTGGAATCAGGCGCTCGTCAATTAGGGGCATATATGGAGTTATTGAAACAATCTTAAAGCCTCTTCATCTGCCTTGATAATGATAAAAATAAAACAATGTGTCCTTAAATGGACATAAAAAATGTTAAGCCAAAAAAGAAAATTAGAAAAAAATTGCCCAACGGAAAGAACAATTCCAATTTCTACAATTTCACTATTGTGACCATGACGTCTCACATCCTCAACCGTGGTGGAGAAGTTACTTGTCTGGAGCGAACCAATCTCCTGGTCAAAGGCTAAGTCTTTAAGGTAGCAGGATCCTAAAAGGGATTATTTTCTTTCTTTTTAAAGTCATGGTCTAATATGCCAATATAATGGGAATGATATCTCAACAACAAAATATTTCATCACAAAAAAAATTGAACATGCAAATTATGCAGCCAATATGGCCGACAATAAGTAAATAAAGAGGACTTCTTTGAATAACTGTATCTCATTAGTCACTTCAGTTTCTAGTTTGAAACTTTCCACACAGCTTCTACAATAGTAGTTTCAGTTTCATGTTCTAAACCAAAAATAGGTCAATATTTTATTCAAAAGTTTTTGTTTTATTGAAGCTAATTTTGAACAAATAATACAGAAAGTGAAATCCAACCTAATTATGTATGCATGGAAGACAGAAAAGACACAATTTTGATAGTAAAAGCTTCATTTGAGGTTTAGGACATTGCTTGTTATGTTGACTATAAACATGCAAAGTTTCATTTTGATATTTTCAATGGTTTGCTCACAATCATATTTTGAGTGAAGACATGTTGGCAGAAAATGCGAATTTGAGAAAAAGCCGGAAAACGGCAGAAAACAGGAATTGATAAGCATTCTCTGTATTCAATGGCCAACAAGAGCCTAGGTCTCTCCTTCCACAGCCTTGGTTTTGTCCTAAAACCCTTTTCGTACTGCCATGAGGGTTTTTCTCCTCTTTTTTTGCAGATTCTAAGCTTTCAAGATGCATTCTTCATCCTCTGAACATCACCACCACATGCAATCCGAGACGTTTTCCCCCATGTCACACAAAGCTTTGACATCAACTTTCCACACTTTCATAACCATTATTTACTTCTTTAAACCCTACCGGACCCTGGTAGTGTCCGGCGGTACTAACCCTGTTCCCATGGGAGCATCCGATACCACTGACAACTGCTTTTTTATTATTGCTAGTTTTTGCTTGTTTTTCGGAACTATTCCCGAACCAAGTTTATTAGTTATGACTAAGCCTTTGTTTCTGCCATTTAGAAGTTAGAGGAAAGCTAAAAATTTATTTACAATTCAGTAGGCGTAGGCTTATTTTTTTCTGTTTGTCAGTCTATCCATCATATAAGTATGGCTAGCCCAGCCGTCTAGCCGTCACTAAGTACGGCTAGCCTGCCAGTCTAGCCGCACTGTACTCAGCTAGCCTAGCTGTCTAGCTATTTTTAAGTACGGCTAGCCTCTTACTTATTATAAAAACTATATTTTGTAAAGTTGAGTTTTGCCCACAACAATTTTTATTCACGAATACATATATATATATATATATATATATATAAGCCTTCATTTCTAGAGTCTGTGAATAATGAGCGAATTAACAAATCACTTGCTGTATCGGATCGCAGGCAGGGGGAGCCATCAGTACACTGAAAGATACAATTTATTTTATTTGCTATTCAAGCAAGATACTGCTCAATTCTGACGTCAAATGAGCAAGCCTGCTGAGTCGGCAACCCTAATCATTCAATGACAATGTCATCACAGTCATAATATCAATGCCAGAGCCTTGCGCGCCAATCTTAAAAAAATAATGTACATATTTCAAGCACATGTTGATTCTGTCATCACCCTGCCCTGGTGTTCGATGTCTGTAACCCATTTGCTTGTCAAGACTCAAGTTTACACACACCCCCCCCCCCGAAGAAAGAATGAGAATGGTAAAAAAAAATTCGTAGAGACTATTTCTGCGAACGTTCGGCAAAATAAACCTGATCTCTCTTTCTCCGAACGGTTTCCGTTCACAAGATTTTTTGGTTATTAGCGAGAGTTCGGCGTCATCCTTCATTCTGCGAGGACTGGGAAGAAGCATATTTATTTTTTCCAGTGAATACACTAATTCTCCGAACGTTCAGGAAAATAAAGCTGGGCACTATTTCTCCGAACGCTCTGAAACACAGAATTCTACACCTCTGAAATCACATCCTTTCCCGTAAATTTCGGATATAGATCTATAATTATATTATAGGTCTACCAAAGATTGTTCATATATACAATATGGTTCAATCGGTCCAAAAAATGTCCACAGTAAATATTTATATAAAGAAATGCAACAGTTCCAAACAGTTTTTCGCTACAGATATGACGTGTTGCCTATGAAGGGTGCTGCTCTTTAACTTAATGTGTTGTGTTCAATCATGTTCTGTCTAGATCTAGATCTATGGAGGGTTATTGATAACAACACATAGAACTAGCATTTGCGTTTGTCACGGCCGCAACCAATCAATCGTGGCTCGATTTTTTGGCATTTTTTAGGTCCCCGAATCGGGGAATAAAAGTCAAATAAAAAATTAAAAAATTAAAAAAAAAGAAACTTTACTTTTGAAAGAAAGTTCACGTAGCTTCACTTCGTCTCTTTCTCACTTGTCACCATGTCGATTTGTTGAATACGTTACAGTTACATACGATTTGTTTTTTTTGTATTGCTGTTCCTCTTTTATTTTTCCCTCTTTGTGGTGTTTTATTTTGTTGGTGTGTAATTTTTTTTTCTTGTTATTGTTCTGATGTGTTGTTTTTCTATAAATTTTTTTTGGGGGGGAAGAGGGGGGGAATGTTGTATAGTGTAACATCATTCACTTTGATGTTCCTACCTTCATTCGATTCTAAAATATACATGAATATATAT